GGGCACCTTCTACTTGGCACAGCCATGGAAAGCAACCTATCCAAACACCTCCAGCATCAGTTCATCAGTGCACTGCATGAAGGACCTTGGTGAGAACTGTGAGGTTCTAGGTTACGGTTGGCTGTTGCTGCTGTCAGAGCTGTCATTGATAAAAAAGCAATGTCTGTGCAGTGCATTTCTTCTAGCTTCAAAGGATGCCTGTGAAGACGAAGGCTCTCTACTGTTTGATAGGTGCCAACTTGGACGGGAAGGTGCCTGTCGAACCCGTCACTGCCGTGTGGGTGTTGTAGCGGCACGGGGCTAGCTGCACTGCACCTGAGATTCCCGTCCGGGGCGTTGCACAAGCCGAGGCCGCTGACGCCGCTGGGAACGCTCGCTAATCAACGCGTTCGGAAGTGGCTGCCGCGTGGGCTCAGCGCGTTAACGTGCCCCAGCCTCCAGCGCACCCGCAGTGTTAAACGCGGTCGGCGTCCGGGCAACGAGTTGACGACGACCGTTCATCCTCTAAGCAAAACACGGAAGATTCACCCGCGAGACGATCGGGCTACAAGACCTTCACGGAACACCAGAAATCTCACTATTATTGGAGGTCTTCGTTTTCGAAACAGTTCATTGATATTCCACTCGTTTGGTAACTCTGTGGTACCGTCATTGTTTGTTATTTGCAAACTGTCCCTGACAACCCCCAAGCTTGTGTTTAAATACTAGGCGACTGCCGTCGGTTCGTACAAGGGGCCCGACTGTATCACGTACACGGGAACCACGAAGAACAGATCCATCATACCACAGCACTTGTTGTCTGAACAGAAAAAGGGCTAATCCAATTTTCGTCGGACGCTGAGTTTGACGTGCCGGCTACCTGTGCAGAATACGGATTTCCAAAACTTGCGAAATCGAAGATGGAATAGAAGTTCCATTCCATCAAAATTGACTAGAAGCTATGCCAACGAGGGTTCACGATTGGGATAGGAAGAAAGCAAGGTGTTGGAACTGGTGCTAAAATTGTCTCGGCATCAGCAATCAACATGTCGAGCGCAGAGTATCAGAAGGTGAACGCCGCCGCTTCTGCCGGCGAGCATGTTTCTGGCGATTCTGCTCCTGATGGCATTCCTCCGCCAGATGCCAAACTAGGAAGTGGATCATTGATTTCACGCCATCTTCCTTTCCTCAAGACGAAGCGCGGGATTGTCATAACCGTGGCAGTCATCCTCCTCATTATCGGCGGAGGTCTAGCAGGACTGGCGGCTCTACCAAAGAAAGGAAACAAGAGCCCAGCCGGGGCGGGAGATGGAGCGGACGGCTTAGGAGATTCTATCACCAGTGACGAATATTTTTATGGCCAGTCACCACCGGTATATCCTTCACGTACGTACGCTCGCTTGACTCATCGATCGAGTATATGGGTTCACTGTTGAAGATACGAGGCTGATTCAAAACACAGCAAATACGACCGGTGCTGGAACTTGGGCAAGCTCGTTGAAGAAGGCTAGGGACATGGTCCGCCAAATGACACTTGATGAGAAGGTACGAGCTGCCAGACATTTTGAGGGCAATCTGGATGTTCTTGATCATACGGGGGATCACATCTCTGACGTCTTGGCTATCGCACAGGTTTACCTAACAACAGGTACCACCTCTAACACCAGCTGCTCCGGCTTCATCCGGCCTATCTCTCGTGTAGGCTTCCCTGGAATGTGCCTGAGTGATGCCGGTAATGGCCTCAGAAACACCGATTTTGTCAGCAGTTGGCCGAGCGGGCTTCATGTTGGTGCCAGCTGGAACAAGTCGCTTGCACACCAGCGAGGCACCGGTATGGGCAGAGAGTTCAAGAAGAAAGGAGTGAATGTTCTCCTTGGGCCCGTTGTTGGACCCATGGGCCGTGTGGTGTTAAGTGGTCGCAACTGGGAAGGTTTGTTCACTTCCTGTTAGGATACTCAATGATTGGACCGAGTGTTAATAGTTACGGACTAGGTTTCTCTTCGGATCCATATCTCGCAGGGGCTCTTGTTTACGAGACTGTCGACGCTGTCCAAGATGTTGGTGTCATCACCAGCGTCAAGGCAAGTTAACATCCTCGTATCCGAAAACTGAAAAGCTCGCTAACACCACACCAGCATTATATCACTAACGAGCAAGAGTCGAACCGAATGCCCGCCAATGGCATGGAGTCCCTATCATCAAATATCGACGACAAAACGATGCATGAGTTCTATCTCTGGCCCTTCCAGGATTCCCTCCGTGCCGGTACAGGTAACATCATGTGCTCATACAACCGACTGAACAACTCGTATGGCTGCGCAAACAGCAAGTCACTCAACGGCTTGCTCAAGACAGAACTCGGGTTTGAGGGGTTTGTCGTGTCTGACTGGAGTGCCCAACATGCCGGTGTCGCCACTGCTTTGGCAGGTCTTGATATGACGATGCCAGGAGGTGACGACTTCTGGGGTTCCAAGCTTGTTGATGCTGTCAAGAATGGCTCAGTTCCTGAATCTCGACTTGACGACATGGCAACTAGAATCGTTGCATCTTGGTACAAGATGGGCCAGGACGAAAAACTTTCCTACACCCGGTATCGGCATGGCCAGCGATCTCACAAAACCTCGCAACGTTGTAGACGCCAGAAACTCAACCTTTCGCTCTACGCTATTTGATGGCGCAGTGGAGGGTCATGTTCTCGTGAAGAACACGCGAAATACATTGCCCCTGAGCAACCCCAAGATGTTATCCATCTTTGGATATTCCGCCAAGAACCCTGACCACAATGGCCCATCACTTGGTTCATCTGCGTGGGTGTTCGGGGCACAATCATTCAACTACGACGAGTTTTCCAATGGCTTCTTCGGCAGCGCCGCCGTAGGTAACACCCCCATCGCCTTCAACGGCACGCTCTACTCTGGCGGTGGATCAGGCGCTACCTCCCAATCGCTCGCCGTCTCCCCTTTCGAAGCCATCGTTCACCGCGCTTACGAAGACGGCACCGCGCTCTTCTGGGACTTCCACAACGGTAATCCAGCCGTTAATCCAGCCTCAGACGCCTGCCTCGTCATTGGCAACGCCTACGCCACCGAGGGCGCCGATCGCCCCGCTGCCCGTGACGACTACACCGACGGGCTGATCAAGCACGTCGCCGCTCAGTGCAACAACACCATCGTCGTCTTCCACAACGCCGGCATCCGCCTCGTCGACCAGTTCGTCGACCATCCCAACGTCACCGCCCTCATCTTCGCCCACCTCCCCGGCGAAGCATCCGGCAAGGCGCTCGTCTCGCTGCTCTACGGCGAGTCCAATCCCTCCGGCAAACTCCCTTACACGGTCGCACGTAACGAGTCCGACTACGCCGTGTTTGGACCCGATCTCCCCGAAGCTGGCATCTTCCGCAAGTTCCCGCAGAGTAATTTCTTCGAGGGAGTGTTTGTTGACTACCGCCATTTTGACGCCAAGAACATCACACCGCGCTACGAGTTCGGCTTCGGCTTGGGCTACACTACTTTTTCGTATGGTAACCTCTCCATCGAAAAAGTCGCTGATGCGAACACGGACGAATACCCCACCGGCGAAACCCGCGAGGGAGGGCAGGTTGATCTGTGGGATATCCTCGTCCGTGTCAAGACTGAGGTCAGCAACACGGGCGGTCGTGACGGGGCGGAGGTTGCGCAGCTATATGTTGGGATTCCGGATGAGGGGGCGCCGGTGAGGCAGTTGAGAGGGTTTGACAAGGTGTTTGTGGGTGCCAAGGGACAGAAGACGGTCGAGTTTGAGTTGATGAGGAGGGATTTGAGCGTGTGGGATACGGTGAGGCAGAGGTGGAGGCTGATGAAGGGTGGGAAGTATGTGCTTGAGGTTGGCGGGAGTAGTAGGGATTTACCGCTTAAGGGGACGGTTGAACTGTAATTTTGTAGTCATGACTGATGGGTTAATGAATAACTGATGTAGTTTCCATACTCGCCTTGCGTTTGCACGTTTGCATGGGAGGTCAAGGGTACATGGACTTGCCACACCTGCTGTTAAGTAGCTTCACGCACCCCCTACCTCCCGAGAGACACATGTACATCCGACCTGGGAAACCATGGAAACCTAAATTCAGCGGTCAAGTACTCAATTTTAATAAGCTATCTTTTGAAATTCTCAGGCTCTGTTCTTATGTTAGAAGACTTTGATATATTTTCAGATGTTGCCGCTAGGGAGGCCGCAGCACCGATGGATTGGGACTTTACAGTGTCATCCATATTCAAGGCTACATATCTGCTATACAGTATTGGGCTGGGGCAAGAGCGGGCGCATTTTTAGGTAATTGCGAGTTGACTCCATGGCAATGTGACGTCAAAGTGCTTGAATTGTCGTAGATAGTAGGACGGAGTAACCTCTAGCCAGGGGATGCAGGAACAAAAGACATGGTATAGATGAAACAATTTCTGGAGGCACGAGAATATGAATCTCAGGTCCAGAGATGGCAACTTGGAGAAGAACTATGGAAAATGGTTTCGATCACTCCGTGTCAGTGAAGTCAGAGTTAAAGCTGAGGATTTGGAATCTTTCGGTCACGTATCGTATTTACCGGAAGTTGTCAGGTACCTAGGTATATATATATTTGCAGAACAGCCCGTCTGAGCCACTCACATTCATTTCACGACAGACCGGTGAGGACAACATGTATATAGGTAGTGGCATATCTAGAGACATCGGCTTTTAACAGAGGCATATCTTAACCCTCTCGTTGACATCAAAATTTACACCAAGGATCCTGAAATCACTGACGCATGAGTGTTCATAGAAGACACCCACGCGTCTGTAACGGCGCTCGTCGTTCTCAATGTGACTCGACTTGTCTCGCATCAAAATCAACCCCGCCGTATCTCTGCTGTCGTGATACCCATCCAATCTCAGTAGGGGCACCGCTAAGACAAGGTCACCTTCCCTTGGTTCTTCATCCCACCATATATCGAGCCAGTCATGCAGGCATTGCCCAAAATTGATGCCATGTACCATCTGTCTGGTGTATCGATGCTTCAGAACGGTGACTTCGCTGCCTCTTGTGAAAGCTTGGATTGCAATCGTTATACCAAAGTCTTCCCAAGGTCTATCCTCCATTCTACCATTGTGGTTGTGCTGTTCTGTAAAGCTAGGGCAAGAGAACTTGACTTTTTGTAGCAAGGTGGTTGGTTGTAGGCACACTTAGTTCTCCGGTAAACCAGTTGAAACGAAATTGCTTTCGGCCAGCCGTAGAAGCCCAAGACCATGATGGTAGGTTTGTTCCGCATGCGGTCTGTTCAGACGGTTGGACACCTCTTTCGTACACCCACAGGATGTCAAAAGGCCAGAACTCGATCCAGGTTCCAGCAGCATATGTTAACCCAAGACGGCTGGCTATTGCCTGGGCAATGCCTGCGAGTTCGATAAATCTGTCGGATGCGTATGTCAAGTGGGTTTCTGTGTACTCTTCCACCACACGATGCCAGATCATCATCAATTGACGATTTACCTCAACGGTATCGATTGTCCCCTCGTAGGGCCTTTTGCCAAAAACAGACTCTGTCTTGATGTCATCATCCATCCTCTTCTCGGTCTTGCTGTCAAGTTTTGGCTCAAATGACTGAAACCGCATATCTATCTTGGCCATGAGAAAAGTCACAGAGCGTCAAAAATTGGGCTCTAGAAGTATCACAATGCTCAGTTGGAAGTTTGCCATCGACCAGACGGCTTTCAGACTTTGTGTGACAGCAGCACTCCCAGTATAACTGTTCGGCGCCGAAATAGAGAATCCTGGGCGATAAGAATCTTTCTTGTAATACCCAAGCTCGTGAGAGTAAAGGAGATTTCCGCAGAAATTTGGTAGTCTCCTGTGCTGCTCCCGGCCGGCGTATATGGCCTCATTCTCATTCGACTTGACAATGCGGCAAGGAATGTACCCCAGTGGGTTGCGGTTTGTATAGCAGTAGTCAACTGGAGAGCTTGAATCCGCTGGAGGCCCTGAATCGTTCCCAAGTCCCAACGCAGCAATGTTGCACGAAGAGTTGCTATATACATCGCACATGGTGACAGCTTCTTTGTGAAAATATGCGGTATTGGAAGGGTGTTGGATGATGCACAGTGAGTCAATCCAGATATACTGGTAACCCAATCGTCTCGTGATTTTCATGGTCTCCTAAAATGTTTGAGGGAGTGCTTCAAAGGGTATACATTGCTGAAGCCGCTCGATGTTGTCAGGAGACAACTGGACTGTCTTTCGGGGTCCTCGAACTGTTGCTGCCCATACACGACTGAGAGTGCAGTATTGGATATCGGCCAAAGTTGCGCCGGCTGGTGTGATAATCAGGCGTGGAACCAATTGTCCGTCCACCTCACTAATTTCAACGAGCCTTGTGGGGAGCTTGCCATTGGAACCCAGTGAACTTTGCTTGCACCCTTCTTGATGCTCGAGGCAATCATCCAGCCAAGACCTAGCTAGATCCAAAGCATCGGGTGAGCCAGTTGAAATTGGATAGTATTCCTAGCTTGAGGCGGGTTGAGGGGAGATTATGTCCCTATCTGTGGGAGAAGACGTCCAGTTAGAACTCATAGAAGAATGATGGATGCAAAGAACATCAGAACTATGCCATGTTGCTTGCTGATGGGAAGTCGTGCAATTATCTACTGCGGGACATCAGCTTCCCGTCCGTGATCCAAAGCCTTGTCAAGTTTGAACGATCCTCGGGGGATAGCTCGTTATCGATTACCTCCATTATTATGAAGGTCATGTCAACAGGTGAGGTGCCTCCCCCAGGGGCTCCGGAGACCCACGAAGATAGCTCCTGGAGTTTCTGTAATTTCGGAGAAGTGTGTATCTCCCCAAACTTCAGCCTCTTGCGCCTGTTTGTGGATCAAGCTGCAAATATGACAACCACCGGCAGCTGCGTCGAACATATCATTCAAATCCCAGCTGTGATAAAATCCCTCGCGATCAGTGGGTGTGTGTTCATTTTCAGGGCGGTTGGGATCACTGAGCCACTTGATCAACTGGGATTCATTCCTGATACAATCACATGCTTTGTACAAAACATGCGCCCTGACGCCAGGCGGCTCGTCGTTGGTTGTGTGCGTGTCCATGGCTCATAGCATTTGTGGATGGACGTTGAACGTGGACAGGCGACAATGGAAAACGAGGTTGATTCTGTGGTCGGTAAAGCTAATTGAGGAAGGCGAGGAACGGAAACCGGGTCAGCCGAGAAATACTGAGCAAAAAGTGCAGCCCGGGCTCAAGAGAAGTGTATCAAATGGACGGGAAGACACGGTCAGCACTAGGTGATGCTTCTGAAGGTGCAAATCTAGACCAAGGAAACGATAGTTGTCGTGGGGGTGAAGTCGCAATCTACACATCAGTCCTGGAAAGTTCGTTAGCGTGGGACTTCACAACGTACCCGTCGCAACTCAACCAGAATTCCACAAATTTTTAGGCAAAAACTTGGTATTAACCCGATGCGTTTCTCCCGTCTCAAACATTCCCCCTAATTCTCCGTTTTGGATGTGATTATCTCGTTATTTTCTTTGAGAGAGCTGCATGTCAGGGCTGCGAAACAGGGTGACGGCGGCGTTGAGAGCGACAAGCCAACCACAGCTCTAGGATCAGAAGCCGGCAGCTAGGGTGGGATGGTTTTAAGCCTGGGTGGGAGCCCGTGTCAACACGCTCACCCCCCTGGCCTACTTGCGTGGGCTTGGCTTGAAGCGAGGCTTGAAGCCTTGATATCAAAACAAACGCTACCCGAAGTGAACGCTCTGATTGCCTTTTTGGCATGCCCTCCATTGCAGCATCAAAGCTGCATTTGGTCCTTGAAAGACGAAACATTAATGTGGCACGCTGACATCAGGCTTGATGCCAGGTGTGGCGCTACGAAGATTCTCCACCTTTCCGCCGCTAGAGGGTGTGCAATCCATTAGGCGTCATTCCCCTTATCTTTATCTCTTTTCCATTGTCACTAGCGTCCTTCCGGACCATCGTTCCCAGTGCAATAGCAACCAGTTAGGGTAAACAATTACACCAGACCAGACCACGAGATGGTGACCGAATGAGAGCCTCAAGGGAACGGGGATTTCCCTAAAAGACTCTTCTCGTGTCACGCCGGCCACATTCCGGAGTACTGGCCTATACCAAACAGCTCTGGTAACACATGTCCTGGATCCGGGGGAAAACGTATGGCGTGCGGCCAAATTTCTCCTAGTATCTCGCACGGAAGTCCTCACAACTATGATAAGCGTCGTAACACTGAGCGGATGTTGCCTGGAGAAGGGAGGTGGGTGTTAGCTAAATGTCTGGTATTTGTGCAAGTTCGTCAGGCAAGTAAGAATACGAGCCTGTCTGCCTCGTTGACAAGATAGAGAGAGGAAGAGCAAGTTAGAAGAAGAGCAAGTTAGAAGAAAAGCAAGTTAGAAGAAGAGCAAGTTAGAAGAAGAGCAAGTTAGAAGAAGAGCAAGTTAGAAGAAGAGCAAGTTAGAGGAAGAGAGAGGAAGAGGGAGGAAGAATATAGGAGGTTGAAGGCAGGGGAAGCAAGGGACCAGTTTGAGGCCAATCAGCGT